GCTTACGGCCATACCACGTTGAATACACCAGTTCTCGTCCGATCACTGAAGTTAAGCAACGTCGGGCTCGGTTAGTACTTGGATGGGTGACCGCCTGGGAATACCGAGTGTCGTAAGCTTTTTTTTTCGTGAAACTATGCATTTGATTTAACTCGATACAACTAAACTATATAGAACTGCGTAATTATGATATTAAATTTATTCTAAGTTTAAATATTTTCTTGGCATGTTAATCAGAATCGAATTAAAAATCGCTTAGAAAAATTATGTATAAATTCTAAACAAATATTTCATTTCAGTATATTCATTAAAATGAATATTTAACACTTCATCAAAACAATTGTCGAAATTTAATCTTTTATCAATATTGAATAATAATTATCCTATAGATAAAAAATATTGACACAATTGTCACTATTAACATATGTCAAGTTCATATTCTAATGAGAATGAAAACACTATTTGATTATAAAAATAAATTACAACCATACATATATTATATAATTGTCATTGCTTGATGTTTGCAATAAAGAATCTATTTTATACGAATATTAATTAAGATTTTATCAAAATGAAAAAAGAAAACCTTGTCATTGTATTTGTGTATGTATATATATATATATAATTACGAATGCATATCGACGACATGATAAAATTCATACAAATAGACATACAAATGAAAAAACATCTGTACAACAACATAATGAAGGTAAAAAAAAGAGCAGTTGAAAATTGTTACGGAAATGAAAATTTAGAAGATATTAAAACAAAAAAAAACGAGAAAAAAAATTTCAAATATTTAATAAATATTAACTACTATATAGATATAGATCTTTCACTGAGAAATAGTAAAAAACAAAGCAGACTGTAAACAATAAAATTCATTCATACATTATTTGAAATTCTTTTTTCTTCAATTTCGTCGATATAATGGAAATCTGTCTGAATATATTGTGGATGAAGAAGCTTGGCCTGAATTAAGATATTGAGAATTTGGTGCCGTCCATTGTTTATTGGAGCCTAACTCGAGTGAGACTGTGCTCGACTTGTTGCTGGGATACCGGTCGTCTATAAGAACAATAAATGAAAAAAATATATAAATACAAAATTATAAATAGTATCAAAACAGTTTTAAGCATTGAGTTAAGCAAAGCAAACGTGCAAAGCCATCAAAATCGTGCTATAAAAGCTCAACAGTCAATAGTAAGACATCAGAATATAAGAGCATAAATAAAAAACGAAGCGTGTCAATGAAGCAAGCACCGGCCCAAAAAAAGAACAAAAGGACACGGATGTGAAATATTCGACGTACAACGATTGTGGTTCATGCTCTGGTGAATAACCAACATAATATCCAACATCATCAATTTCACCTGGTCTACTCCTTTTTCTTGTTGATATTGGATATTCTTTATCATTATGTCGATTATATTCTGGAAGACTAACTGATGCACTAACATCACCAGGTCGAGGTTGTCTTTGATTAGATACAAGTGGTGACATATCATCAAGAATACTTCCATTACTATTACCACCATTTCTATATACACTATTATCAAATGTTGGTGAATGAGATGGTGGAAGACGACCAAAATTACGACGTGGTGCTGGTACTACAATAGATGATTGGTGTTGAGTTGGTTCTTCGGAATATTTTAATGATAATTGTGATGTACCTTTGGGATCCTGACGTATGTCTACATTGAATACAACAATTAAAAACAAGGACATATATTTACACAAATTTTCCTATGAATTTTCTCTTTTCTTTTTGTTTTTCCTCATTATGCAAAATAAAAATAAACATAACAAAAACAACAAATAACTATCATATCTATTTATAGCTACAGACAAAAAAAAGTAATATTTTCTAAATATAAACTCACTATGATGATCATAGATGGTATATTCAATCGTTCTTTCTGGATTATATGATACAGATTTTTAAAATTTAAAAAAAAAACGTTTTTTTTCGCATTTATTTTCTCACCTTTTGGTTTAAATGAACTTCCACCACCAGTATGACGATGGCGTACAAGAGCAATAATTTCCATGATGACAAGAACAATCACAAGAAGACCCATATAAACATACCAAACAATCCAAACAGGTAATGGTAAAACAGCAAGAAAGACACCTAATGATATATTTACTAATCCAAGTGCTAATATAATTGAACCTAATATACGATGAATAATACGCCATGCGCCTCCACCACCCCATGTATCTTGAGTAAATCCTTCTTGACTACCTTTATGACTTGATCCACTAAGACGTTCAATATTACTCGGCTGTCTTTTTAAAATTAAAGCACCAAGTCTTAAAAAACAACGACAAAAAGTGAAATAAATAAATAAAAGTCAAAAGTTTTAACATACATTCCCATAAGAAATTGAAGAATTGTTAATATAAATGTTATGATACCAATAATAGCATGAGCATGTTTAAAATGAAGTCGTGCTGGTGCACGAATAGAATGTATACCAAAAGAAAAACCACATATAGCTAATGCAACACCAAAAATCTAAATAAAATCATTGATTTTAATTCAAAATCAACAGATTTAATTTACTTGTAAAATCATATGTAAAGGTCGTCGAACAGGTGAATTTATAGCATGTCGACCGACAAAATAGCCAATGGGAAAAATAACACCATAAGTAAAAAATTGAAATATACCGTGAAGATGATAATATGAAAATGGATAAATACATCCGCGTGAATTCGGTGCAGATAGTGCATCTTGTGGTGATACTTGTAGAAACCAAAGATCAGAAAGTAAACGACGATCACTAAATATTCACAGATATATTAAAATGAATAATCAATTTAATTTACATACGTTGTAGCTCGTCCACCAAAAATAAACATACCAGGTGCACCTTGAAAACATCCAGCAACAAAAGCAGCACCTTCTCTTTGCATTGGATAGCTACCATCCTATTCAATGAAAAAATACGAAAATGAATTTACTTTATACATATATTATATTATTTCATTAAAAAGAAATAGTAAGGATAGACATATTTTTATACATAGAGAATTATGTTTTAGCTCAAAAAACAAAAATATCACAACGAAGACTAATCAATTGTTTAATTAGAAAACTAAAGAGAGAACTATTCAAACGGACACTCGCCGTTTAATCTCATATGAGGATTAGAAGTATATCTCCATGAGACTAGCACAAGTCTATAAGAATTTGTCCCCACGGATTTTTGGGAATGAGCATGACAGGTTTACTGAATTTTCGTTTCATTTTAAGATAGTTCCCAAACAATCAAATCATGAAATTTCAATCTCAAATTTTGCATATAGATAGGTCTAATAACTTTTAGAATATCTTAATAGTTTTAGCCGAAAAAATGTCTCACCATCAAGATATAGAATTTCCTAAAAATAGTCTTGTATCACAGACTTATCAATAAAATCAATTTCAATTGAAAACTCGATAATTCGATGAGAGAACATTCTTCGCCGCTGAAATTATCGGAATATTCTAAGAACCATTAGATCTATTGATAGAAAAAATTTTAGATTGAAACTTCGTTATTTAGTTTTTTCGGGAGTTACCTATAAATAAGACGAAAACTCAGTAAATTGCCCATAAATAGACACCAAAGGCTCATGAAGACGAACAGTTTTAGATCTTTGCTGGTTTCTTTGAGACTTTCTTCTGCACTCGATATGAACTCAAACGGTGGGTGTCAGTTAGAGTAGTTCTAGAGTTATAGTCGGATCCGAGTTCGAAAAGTTAGGACTCGAGGAACTCTAGGTAATTTTCTCGTAAGTAAAATAATTATAGAATTCTAGCTATTGCAATTAGTCATTATCTAATTCATATCAACTTACTGTTGGAGATGGAGCTGCTCGTTTTAAATGCCACTCTTTTTGACTTAAGCTAAATACAGCTATTTCGTCACGTGGACTTGGATAAGTCTATTAAAAAGAATAGTAAATCAAATTTTGAATTATGTTTTCATTTTTAAATTACTTACACGAATGGATGATGGATTAAATTCACGGCCACCCCATAAGACAGCTACGGATTGTTCAACTCCTAGACTCATACTTGCTGACATATCTGCTGCACCTAGACCCACTCCACCACATGTACTATATGAAGGAAGTGTAACCATAGCAGCTCCTGTTTTTGTTGGTGGACATTCACCTAAACGTTCCCAATGTCCACTATCAATAGATAATAACCAAGAATCTTTTGATGGACATGGACCACCTTTTCCATAACCACTAGAGAAAAAGATATTGTTGTTTGACGTTAGACAAATACTATCAAAAATGTTTTTTTCCTTAGATAAAAACAAAATTATTGTAAAAAAAAACAGTTTTATAGAAATTTTTATCAAACTAATCTGTATTAATACTCTTTTGAAATGGTTAATTAAATAAAGTATTTATATGCATTTTCTTCATTATTCTAAATTATATTTTTATACCTTAAACATCCACCGAAAAGTAAAAGATGATTATCAGTAAGTAACGCAGTAGAATGTCCATAGCGAGCATGTGGATACGCTGGACTATATGATGATAAATCATTCATAACTAATATTTATAAAAAAAAAAGAAATAAAGTTCATAAGATTCAAACAAAAATACATATTTATATAAACACTTTACTCATTGCTGCTTGTGTAGTACTAGTTTGACTAAGACCTGATGTACCCTTTCCAATGATTTCAACAAATGAATACATCGTATCGCGTGATTTACCCATAGTATATACAACTTTTGGCACATCAGCCGCAAGTGTTGAAATAGTTGCTGAGCCAAAACCACGGGCATATTGTGATGTTTGCGTTTCCTGCCAAGTTTTTGTACTAATTTAAAAAAAGGACAATTTAATAAAAGGCTATAGTCAAATAAATACATACGCATAACTAAGAAACCAAGCATCTCGAAATGGATAATAATTTTCATCAGCACGATCATCATCATCATTATAATTTTTAGCATTATTATAACCAGTTCCACTCAATGGATTATAATTTGGATTGTTAATAAAATTTGGATTATTCATTAATGTTGGATTTTGAATAAAATTTGGTGGTGTTTCATAATTATAATTTGGAACATCTTGAGCAGCTGCATAAGACAAATATGGATTATAATATGGACTTGAGCCTTGTAAACCAAAACCACCAAATATATATAAACCACCATTTATCGCACTAGCTGATGCCATACCGTAACGACTCGGAGGTGGTGCTGGAAAAGTAAGTGGATCCCATTGACCTAAAAGAAAAGATTGTTTAATTAATATATTATGATGACTTTATTGATTACCTGTTAGAAGATTGAATGAATAACAATCTTGAAGAGGTATTCCTGTTTGAGTCCGACCACCGTATAAAATAAGAAATGTTTGATCAAAACCAAGTGCAGCATCACGTCGTGCTACTGGTGTATCTGTACTTGAACCATCACTGAGTAAAATCCATTGAAACTGTTGAGTATATGTAGTCGAAACAAATATTAGAAAAATAGGAAAATATATCAAGATTGTTGAAAACATCTTAAAAACACAAAACCAAAATAATATGATCACTTAGAAAAATAAATGTTAATTTTTATAATTTTTGCAACAAATCTTTAACATGAAATGTTACCTTTTCATCTTATTCTTTGGCATTCGTTGTTTAGAATTCTACAGTTTTACTCGTTCTTATCCGTATATTTGAACTTTATTTTGTTCACAGCTGATTATGGTTGAGGTAGACAATAGAAAAAAAATAAATTTTGCAGTTTTGTCAGCCATATGAATCATGAATATAATACATTAAAAAAAATGAGACGCAAGTGAAAAAAATTTTTCTTGGCACAATAATCATGATAGGTAAGACTACGTGTTGGTTTTTTATTGATGTCCCTTTTGCCTTCCTTATAAAACACTTACTTTTTAACGCTTCTATTACATGTGCTATACAATGCAATCTTTGATTATTCAAAATTTTTTTCTCTTTTTTTTGAATAAAGAAACGGCAAAAAAAACCTATCGCCAAACCGCAAAAAAGAAATATATGCGACAATTTTACCTCAGTCAAGTTCTTTTCTTTCCTTCTTTCAACAAATGATGTTGACGATGAGTTGACTGAATATGAAGAATAGCTCATTTTTTCCTCGTTCCTTTTTCATATTCTTTTTTTCTTCATTTCTTCTGCTCTGTGCTATGAAAGGTAGTATTATACATAGGAAGATCGAAACATATATGGCACACACGTCGTATGTTTGTCTATCGTTTGCTAGCATGCGGGTCGACCAATGGACCATAAGAAGTATAGTTTAGTTGCATGGACTAGAGAGAAATAAGCGAACATATGACCTTTTTTTCTTTACCTTCGTTCAGTCTTATTGTCGCACAGATGCAAACACAAGAATGGTTCAATTCTTTTTTTTTGCTCGTATTCATTTGTATTCAAACTTTCAATTACGATATGACTGATGTTTGGTCAACCGTTATCATACATAAGATGAAGACAAGCTCTCAAATAGATTGAAGATAAAGAACAAACAAAAAATGAAAAATAAAACATTTTAAAAAAATTGAATTAAAAAACTTTCTTCATCTCGACATAACAAAAATAAGAAAAAAAAGAGCACAGAATATGAATCAAGCAAAGAAATATTGCAATGCAAGCAACAAAAAAGAAAGGGGACAAGGCCACGCACACATGGTGCATATAAGTGTAAGGCTGATAAAAAGAGAAGAAAGTTATTTTCAAAATTTATATTTGATGAGCTATTGTAAAACATGTCCTTAAATCAGTGACATCTCTATTCAAATCATGGTAATATCTTATCAAAGATTAACTTGAATACGAAAAAAAAAGCTAAGAAATTTTCATATTAATTAATATTTTTTAGATCATCATTTCTTGACAATCTTTTCTTTTCATTAAGAAAAAAAGTGTCCACCAAATAATCTAAATGTTTTATTTTCTACGTCATTTAAGATAAATTGATGATGTCATTTCGTTGTTTATTGTATCAGTAATAACAAGTATTATCTAGAGTATAAAAACACTTATTACGTTTGAATAAACAGAGAAGACAATAATTATAAACATGTCTACCGATTCGACAACTGTTGTTCTTATTATTGGTGGTGGTCTAGGAGGTCTAGCTTTAGCTCAATTATTATTGCAAAGCTCTTCTTCAATTAAAGTATTAGTATTTGAACGTGATAAAAATGAAAATTCACGTGAGCAAGGTTATTGCATTGGTCTTGACTCAATGGGACTTGATGTATTACGTCGAATTCGAGTTCTTGATAATCTTTTATGTGATCAATCAGATGCAGTTTATAGTTTATCTCATTTTCGATTAGTTAATAAATATCTTCAAAAATTAATTGATTTCAATGCAAAAGATAGTAAATTAGTCTACCGAGAAGATCTTCGACAAGCATTACTAACAAATATTGATGTTCAATGGAATAAACGATTTATATCATATAAAATATTTGATGATGGTATTGAAGCTTATTTTGAAGATGAAACAACTATACGAGGTACAATTCTTATTGGTTGTGATGGAACTAAATCAATTGTTCGTGCTCAACTTATTCCAGAATTTCAACGAAATGATCTTCATATTATTAATATAGGAGGTACTGTAGAACAAAATGATAATATGAAACAAATAAAACAATTAACGAAAGAATGTCTTGTACGAATATTCGGTAAACAAGGTCATTCATTACTTATATTACCTTTTCGACAATCATGGATATGGGCTCTTTCATGGCCAGAAAAAGAAAATCATGAAGAAATAAATCTAACATCTGTTCAATTAATTAATAAAGCTCGTCAATATTTTCATAATGATGAAATTGTTCATTTAATTGAATCAAGTTCATCATCAACACATATAGGTCCTTATCGACTTTATTCAGCTTTATGTTTAAAACAGAATCCATTTCCAAATAATTCTCGTGTAACATTACTTGGTGATGCTGCTCATCCAATGACTACACATGCTGGAAAAGGTGCTAATACAGCATTTGCTGATGCATTTGATCTTGCTAATCTACTTTTAAATCCTTCATCATCAACTCTTTCTGATTATGAACAAAAAATGTTCAAACGAGGTTTTTCTGCTGTTCAAATGTCTCTAACTAGTACAAACATGATTCATTTAACTGGTTGGCGAGCTTCATTACGTAATTGTATATTTTCCATTATTCGATATACAATATTATTCATCAATTTAATTTCAATACCGTTTCATTGGTACAAAAAAAAAGTCTGATTAAATTTTACCTGTATTATTCAAGGGCTGTCATCGATAGAATAGTTGACGATAATGACAAGTGTTGATTATCTTGGCATAAACAGAAAGAAAAAATAATGAAGAATAAAAAACAAGAAGTGTAATAAACAGTACAAAATTTTTACTATTACACTACTGATGTATTTGCCATAAAAAAAAGAGAGAAGCATAAGTTCTTCACGTTTATTTATTCAAAATTTTTGTCGATGTATCAAGTCATAAAAAGTATGCTGATCAACATCTTTTTAGTAAAATCAATCTAATAAAATATCCTTAGTACATCTATTAAAGTTCAATCATCTTCAAACTATCATTCAATCTTTATAGAACTGAAATGAAAGAAAAGAAGAAAAATTAAAAGAGTATCATATAGAAAAAGTAGATTTATATCGATATTTTATCAATGGTATATGGTTACATACCCCTATGAGCACAATGAAGAAAAAGAGAAAGAGAAATGATTTAGATCTGTATTAATGTACAAATGCACATTACAATAAAGAAGAAACTCAAAAGACAGAAAAAGAAATATGAAGTAACAGTATGTGATTGAAAGTAATGGAATTTGATCGAAACTATTCTATGAATTTAAACATACAATGCTCGATGATTTCAATTGTACGAGAAGTTTTTACTTCTTCTATCTTTGTAACTGCATTTAATCGTTAAACTTTACTACCAATTATATTTTACATAACAAGATAAAAACGTAAAAAGAAGCTTTTGTTTCAATATCTATAAAAAGAAAAGGAGAAAAAGAATTTTATGTTACAATTCTATAAATATCTCAAAATGATTCATCATTGATCAAGAGAATATATATAGAGAGATTACAATACATGCATGTTATAGATGCAAGAAAAAAATATCCTTGGAATGGCAATGGCGTTAATGTCACTAAAAACATATTGTATGGATTCATCGATAAGACTCCATTGCTAGCCTCATTTGTATGGTTTACAAATATCTAATTTTCTGATGATAAATCAATCAAATATATTCATTGGTTTCTCTTTTGGAATTTATTATTATTCTTTCTGAAGAATTACATTCTATCCAAAAAAATAAAAATTTATTTTTCTCCTTAGATTATCAATGACGAATTATGTTCGAGTAGATACTTTAATATTCTTCGTTTATAATCACCACTTTACTTATCTATATTGTTATAATTACTAATCTTCTATCATTCTTCATATTATTATCTACTCTATTATATGATGAAGCAAGATTTGTGACATTGATGCTCTATAAAAAAAAATAAAGCAAGATGAAATCTTATTCTTTTTCTTTTCAAGAAAAACTTAGCAAATGCATACACAAGTAATTGATCTAAAACATTCAATAGTATTGATTTGAATATCCACCATGTTCAAATTTCTGTTTTTCAATTTGTTTTATTTTATAAATACAAACTTTTAATGTATTTGAAAATCCTAAAAACATATGCCACAAATAATTTCCATCAAAATCGATACAAAAATTCATATTAGTTATACATAGTACCATTGACAACGGACATAACATATTAAAACACATCGTAGATTAGCTCTTATTATATATTTAATCTTATTTTCAAAACTACTTTCCTTTGAATATAGTGATCTAAAATGAGCTTTTAAGTCACGCAAATAAATCAAATTTATCATCAGAACATAGACATCAATTAAGATTATTGATCCTGTAAAGCATCAGAAAACGTTAACATCTATCAAACTTGAATAAGAAAAAAAAAAAATTTTCAATACAAACTGAAACATTCAATAGAATTGCAATTCATTTATCATTATATCATAATGGCATAAATGACTTGATTAGGGATGTGATATATTAATTATAATTTGTAATACAAAAAAAGATGAATAAAAGATTATGAGTAATATGATTATTAAATACAAGATGTAATTAAATGAAAAATAACTTCATCAAAAGTGCTTATGCATACATGCAAAAATAAGTCAAAAACAAGTGGCAAAATCAGTTCTAGAAATAATGCTTTTGCAGCCAAAGGGTAATGAAAAAAGAATGGCAAACCGGAGGGATCATTAAAGAATAAACTAGCCATATTAAACCAAAAGAAGAAAAAAAGCATAGAAAATTGTTTGTATTAGAAAAAAAAAGAAAACAATATGCTGTTATCGTTGTTTAGTTGAGCTGTAGTATTGAGTTATTGTTATCGAGGACCTTTCATTTTCCCAGAAGCGATAGCTGCCTATAATAAATGAAGATAAAAGAAAAAAAAACAATCGAAAGGCTTTAGGTGAAAGTGCAAAATAAGATTTACAAAAGACATATGATTGCAGTAAAAGAAAACAAGTGAATGTTTGAGCCATGCATTAAAGATAATATGTTATTTCTTTAGATTTAAATCAATTGTGTAAATTTAGATTTTTGCAAAAGCTAAATCACTCTTGATATAAATATGTAGCAAAAGAAAAAAAAAATACAAAACCATCGACCAAATGTCAATATAAATCATACCGATTCTTCGAATTCCTTTTGTGCTTGATCAATTGCACGCTGTATATCAAGTTCACCAGTACTTAAATGCAACATTGGTCTTGAACGATTTTCTTCTTCTTTAAGACGATTTAAACGGTCTCGTTGAATTTGAACAAGTGTATGTTCATGTTTTTTTGTATTTGCTTGTTGATATTGTGCAGCTGGTGACTCACTCTCACCAATTGGTATAGATATATGACCATCAGATACGACCATAACATTTCCTGTTGTTGTGGGAAATAATGGTTCACGTTCAGATGATAAACGCTTTGGTGCTCTACGATTAGTACTATTATCCGATGAATCTACATGTTTCGGTAATGAATTTATCTCATCCCAAGCTCTACTACGACAACGTTTCATAAAAAATTTAATTAATAAACCAATTAAACCAATAAGAATTAGTACACCGGGTATACCAACACCAATACCAATGCCCCATTTCGCTGAAGTTTTCATATTTGAATAAAGATAGTTTCGTGTTGTTTTTGATTCATCAGAAATTAAAGAATAAATAATAAGAAAAAAAGAGAGCAAAAAAAAAGGTAAGACAACAAAACAAATCTGAAAAGATAGAGAGATAAATGATAAGAACAATGAAAAAAAGGAGGCCGAAGAAGATTTTTCGTTTTCTTTTTTATTTATTTATTGTCTTTCTATCCGTTCATTCTTTTACTTTTTATTTAACACCTTGTAAGTATAGTGCTAAAAACTTTTGAAAAACAATGGGATTATATTTCAGTCTTTCTAAAACATATCGTTGTAAATTTCGTTCTGTACCATAAAGTGGATTATGCATAACCATTGACGGACGATTATCATATAAATAATTATCTTTATCAATCCATACATAATTACATTGTTTATCATTTGTATCATTATAATTTAATGTATTCAATTGAAATACAATAAAATGAAAAAGTTCATCAAGAAGAAATATTGATTGAACAGTAACTGGTTTAGTTAGAATACCATTTGGATAGAGTTGACGTGCTTGAACTAGAGCAGAACCAAATGTAAACATAATCATACGTGCAAGACGTTCATCTGTTGTTGATTCATGAATTAACTCATCATTTGAGACATAAAATGTTGTATGAACATCTATATAATACAAAAAAAAAGAAGATATTACCTATGTGTATTTTCTTTGAGATATTAGCTTCAATAGAAGAACAAAATCGATCAAAATATTAGAACATATATGTTTTGTTGATCTATCAACTGTAATAAAGACAAATTTCATCTGCAAGACTCATATTGTGGAAGATTTTTATCATTAAATGTTTATCCTTTTAGCATCAAGAACTTGAAAATTTGTTAATTGAAATATGTGAAAAGATTTCGAAAAGAACAAATCAGTGATTAATCCAAACATGTCGATTGACTAAGTAAACAGTGATTGGAAGAATAAAGTGTAGCTTTCGAGCAATGAGCTTAAATTGCGACGCCAAAAGACAATAAAGAAAAAAAATGTAAAACAAAGAAGAATAAGAAAAATATCGATCGAACGAAAAATTCAAATGAAAACTTTGCTCTACATTACAGCGAAAATTATCTATTTTTTTTCTTTTTGCTTATCCAAAAGAAGATGGTAATCGTCAAGGTTTTAATATGACACATAAATGATTAATCATTTTACTAATTTTAGCTCGTTTTTCCTTCCTTTTCTTTTCTACATATATTCGAATTATTGATCTTTTTTTAAACATTATTTACATTCATTTGATTTTCTTTGTATCCATCCTTGTTCATCACCATCTTGATAAAGTTGTTCCGGTGAAAGATCAATAGTTGGATAAATTGGATACATATCTAAAAATTGATAATCATTTGCTTGTATAAGATAATGTCCATTTGGATCATGACTTGTTATTTGTTCATTTGTATTATTGCCTGAACTAATTTCTAATTTATCAAAACGTTTAACAATTGGTGATAATGGTATTTGACTAGTTAAGACATATTCATTTTTTCTTCGTAAATGTATTAATTCATTATAACGTTCATATGTTGTATGAAATGGTATATTACGATATAAATGTCTTTTAAATAAATCTGGATAACGTCCACCTAATGATTCACATAGAGAAATAATACTTTCAAGTAATATTGACATTTGTCTTGAACGTGGTATAGAATATTCAACACGAAATGATCGACGTTGTTTTAATGGACTTTTTTTTTTTGGTAAATATTCTTTTGTTGCATCATAAGCAATTGATTGACGAATATATGATTGAATTAAATCATCTTGATCAGGTAAGGATACTTGTCCAAATATTTGTTTTATTGATTGTGGTAATTCATAGAATGGAATTGTTTTTGTTAATAAACATGCTTGATCAACACCTATATAAGAATAAATAAAAAAAGAAGAATATAAAAAAGTTTAATTTAATTTCAATGTTTGTTTTTTTTATTTCTAAATATTAACCTGCATGTAATTTTGTTTTTGAATCAAATAAAAATATTGATCGATCATGATGAAACAAAGGATGTTGTTCACGTGGTAATGGTGGTACAAGATATTCGAACATTGGATGTCGAGTTGGACTTGCCCAAGGTGTTGATTCATCAGGTAAAGCATTTGGATCTGGTTCATGTAATGGATCAATTATATTTATTTGACGACCTTCTAATGCTTTAGGTAATGTTAATTTAGGCTCATTAAATTTGCCTTTTTCTTGCCATACCCCTAGAAATTTACATTGAAATTTTATGGAATAAATAAATTTTAATTTATTTACATTTCCATTGTCGATGTAATGGTTTTGTAAATGGTTTAAATAGACCGCGAAGTTCAGTTATTTTTGGCATATTTTCCTAATCGTTGATATATAAACGAATAAATAAAGTATATGTATGTATATCTGGTCGGTCTGGTTCTTTACAGGAAATGGATAATATGACTCATCAATAAATTCCATTGGTTGTTAAGAACCATTAAAAATCAACTGAAACTGGAAATTAATTTTGATATAAACAAAACCTTGAAATATTCATTTTCTTTTTCTTATATCAATAATTACCTCATAGATTATTTGTCCTTCTATGTCCGCCGCTTAGTGATCATATTGATATGTTCATCATTAATGGCGTCTTGATGAAGCAAGAGAATTAGTGATTAGATGAATATCTTATGAAAGAAATATTTAAAAAATTCCATTAATCAGATAAAGATGATCACTTGAATTGACCATTATACTCTTTTTAAAAATTCAACGGTTTAAAATATCTGCTAACAACAATTTAAGAACACCACGTCAAGAAGAAATAAACGTAATGAAAAGCGAAGAAAAGATAGATTAAATAGCACAGTTCATACAAAAAACAAAGATTTATAGTTTATATTTCAAAATGTTTGCGTCATAGTTTCTTTTAAAAAATCTGTCTATGCACAGAAGACACAAAATCTTGATGCTTTCTTCCAACGATACACAATCGAATCCTCTACAAATTTCTATTGACCTTAATTTAAAACAATTCAACGAAACATTTTTATAGGTCATAGAGTGTCATAGAATGAAATACACCTACGTTCCACTCATTTTCACTACGTTCTTTCCACAATGTCAATGAGCGTCTAGAAGAATATGGTTTTATTATTGACTGAGCATCAAGTACTCATTCAGAATTATGTATCAATATTTGATCACAATCTGCTTTTGACAAATGGGAATGGCCTGTCTGAACTACTATAGTCAAATAGACTTTTTCATCATATTCAGGTTTTTATGTCAGCTAAATCGTTTATTAACATTTGTTATTTAGACATCAAGTAGAAAGAAAAATTTAGTTTCTAAAAGTACTGCAAAAAAGATTTGCTTCAGTCATTGATGAGATTTATAGAATGCGTTTTTTTTGAAAGGAAATAAGTAAGAGAGACAAGTAGCGCGACGTTAGCGTCGCTAACCCTCTACTGAAAGAATATGGCCACGTTAAACACAACAATTCGATGTGCCTGTCTGAGAAATTTTGTGTGCGAGACATTGTAATGAGAGAAAGAAACGATGAGCACGCAAAAAGTAGAAAATCTGTTGGCATATATCATCAAGAAATATGTGCTTAAGTGCTATCTGTCTATACTGCATAACTAGACCGAGTTTGGGTTTTTCCCACCAGATCAACATCGGGGAATAATGCTGGCAGACCGTTTGATCGGCTGAATAACAGAATGACGAAAAATAGATACTTACGACAGCTATCATCCTAATACTTTATGTCACTAGCGATACCACTNATATAATGATGAGGAGGATGTAGGGCATGGGCATGAATTCTCTTCATTCACACTCACAATCAAATTTTTTATCCAACGATTTACATTGAAAAGGGCGCCATTCGAGACAATGAAATTCTTCATAATATGTGATCAATATTTGACAGTCAACACCAGTCAGGAAACGAATCCGTGCAAGAAAAGTTCGAATATGGTGCTAACTTTACTTACGTCATTTCAATAAGATTGTACGTTCTCGTTAGAACTAGTCGATACACTCAAAATACTATATGAAAGTAAAATATAGAGGAAGAAGTAGCATACTTTGCTATGCCAGATATTCAAACAGGGAGAAAAATACTGGAAAATATCATCGATTAATAAGTAAAATTGAGAAATGCTGCAGAATATGTGACATCTCATGATTGACGGTTCGACACATGAAAAGCATCTCAGATTGTTTTGTTACTAGCTAAGGTCATACAAATGAACATTATCTCAGCTCAAAGTCTTTTAATTATTCTAAATATACTTTCATAAATTAAAATACAATTATTTTCCAAAAGATCTCCTGTTTCCTCCGTTCTTTATTGATAGAAGATCATTACCCTAGGATAAACTTATACAAAAAAGAAAAGAAAAACAATGTTCAAAAGAATTTCAATTAATGATTGAATGAATGTACTATAATACTCTTGTCTTGTGACATCGATACAAATTGTGTACCCGAATAATTAAATCTAACACACCATACTTGATCGGAATGTTCAGCAGATGTATAAACACATCGCTTTGCTTTTGTATCCCAAATTTTAACCGATTTATCCGATGAACTATATAAATAAAAACCATTTGCTTCTATATCTATCATTATGAAAAATATCAATACATACGATGAAATTAAATGTTGATTATCTGAACTGAATGCTACACTAAGCACCCATGAACTATGACCAGATAATGTACTTACAGTTGTTGGTTGAGCAGTATGTCTAGCAAAAACAAAATAGTTATTAAAAAAGGCTTAAAAAAGAATCAGAATAAATTTACATGTCATGAAGTCGAATATGGCAATCATCAGATGCCGAAGCTAATACTTGAGAATCTGGTGAAAAACATAATGCACGTATAGGCATAGCATGACCTAGTTTTATGTGAAATTATAATTTTAGATAAAAATTAAAATAATAAATATATACCTTCAACTGTATGTAATAATTTTCCAGTTGCTACATCAAAAATATTTACGAAACCATTTTGTGAACCACATGCAAGTAATTTTCCATCAGGACTCTTAAAAAAATAATAAAATCGTATTTAGTGATTTTTTTTATAAAAATAAAAAACAAAATAATTTTCTTTACATAAATAGCACTTAATACAAATTTTGTTTGTGTATCTAATGTCATTTCTTTTTGACCATTTTCAGAATTATATAAATCAACTTTACCACCAAAACTTCCCGTAGCAATGTATTGTCCATCAGGTGAAAATGCTAAACTCCAAGCATTTACTAAAATAATATCAATAGAAAAACAATTTGTTGACTAATTTTATGTTTTACCTGGAGTTGCATCAATATCACGAATAAGTTTTCCACTTTCAATATCCCATAATTTAATTTGTGCATCAAGTGCACATGTTGCTACGACTATATGAATTCGTATAGGAAAAGAAAAATATAGAAATACAAAAGAGAATGATTTTTCTTATGACAAAACCTGTTCCTTGAGGATTAACATCAACCGAAACAATGCCAAGACGATGACCTGTACATGTATATTTCAATTCGAGTTTTTCTTTATACCATGACCAAATTTTAACTTTATCATCGATGGAACCACTAATTATATGTTCAGAACCATCTTTTAAACTTTTTGTCCAAGCACCTGCCCAAATACCATCTTCATGAGCTAAGAAGAACAATAAAATTTAAAATATTTTTAGTTTTGTTTAATAATAGAAACGAGATTTTTGTATACCATTGTCTTGACGACATAAACATTTTACAGTCTAAAGAAAATAAATAAGAGAATATTTATTAATCAATAAAAATTTATTTTCGTACCGCTTCTGGCATCAATGATTATTATCAATTTATTTCAATCTGGAGAAATGTATATTTCAAGAATAATATGTTCAAAATTGAAAAAAAAAGAAACAAAGCAAATATTACAAAAAAGTTTTACTTTTCACTTTTCTTTATTGTACTACTGGTGTATTGAAGACAGAATGGGAATGAACAAGAGATAGAGGGCGTGAAGTACAATGTCAAAATATAACAAAACTGCAAATATCCATAAGTGGTATTGGAGAAAAGTGTCATATTATTTCGATAATATAATAAAAGTATGCTATAATTTAAATTCTTTCTTGTTGATCTATTGAAACCATAAACTCTAGTGTTCTAAATACTTAGGGCACACCAAAAGTTGGGGCAATGCCACCTTAATACCTTATAGTAGACTTAAAGAAACTTTCTTTCTATATAGTCTAATAGAGAAAAGAAAAACTCTATCTTTCTATGCTATTTGATCATACCTCAACTAATCTCATAATAATAAAATTTCAATAAGATGTGTTTCGTTATTATATGTGCGGGTTATGTTAATACTCATTTTAAAAAATACAAGTGAGTATTTTTTGTAATAACTTTTGATAAATACAAGATAGAGAACTACGATTTCCACCATTGGAAAGAGGAGATGAAGACGCATCGAATCGTATACTTCAGGTTTTCTTGATCTGTTTTTCTTGTAAGGTTTTCAATTGATCTTTTTAAGAACAAACTTATTTGGTAAATAGTTTACAGTGAATTTTCCATTATCAAGTATAAATTTAAACCACTAATCGAAAATCAACAAAGTGCGGAAGGCTCACATGAATAATAAGCCTTACAGTCGAGCCTCTAATATTATTTTGTAGCAAAGTCTCTGAAAAAAGCTCACTTTTGTGCTTTTTCCTTTTTTCATAAAAAAAAACATTTTCCGATTGTTAGACAATTGATTAAAAATACTTCAGAAATCCATATTAGAAAGACCTACAATACATGACTCGATGCATCTTCATTTTCTCTTTTCAACGGTGAAACCCATAGTTCTCTATCTTGTTTTTTATCAAAAGTTATTCAAAAGAATACTCACTGACATTCATAGAACCGTGACAATGCGAACAAAACAGATCTTATCGAAATTTTATTATTTTGATGTTAGTTGACGGATGATCAAATAGCATAGAAAGATAGAACTTTTTTTTCTCCATCAGACTATATAGAAAGAAAGTTTCTTTAAGTCTACTATAGGGTATTAAAGTGTCACTGCCCCTACTTTTAGTGTGCCCTAAGTATATCCAACCAAATTCACTTGTAATTTTTATATTATTACAGAAGAGCCTGAGAAACAGTGATACAATTAGTACTGATCGTCAAAAGTTCAGTTCGGTTTCATCTCTATTGAAATGCCTCAAAGAATAGAGAATAAGCGATTATGTTTGTTGAAAAATTTCTTCTTTAAATTAAAGTCAACCATTGAAATACAGATGTTTTAATAGATATTCATATAATAGACAAAAAAGAGATGTTTCACAATTAAAAATTCTTTTATACACTATGTATTTTTATTTCTATGACAACTATCAGTTAAACTTTAAATACCACGAAAAAAATATATTTCATCGTTTAATAATATCCACAATGAGTATTCTACCGATTAGTGAAAATTAATATGAGAAAAAAGATGCGTCAAACATTTTCTTGTCTTGTCTTATCTTTTTCTTATCTAATTAAACTATTAATATCAAACAGTTGGTACGATTGTATAATCAACTTGTTGATCAAAATAGTTTTTTTCTTTTTCATATTGATCCATACTAATGATACTTTCTTTTTCATTTGCATTATCATCTTTAAATGGTTTATCAATATTAAGTATACCATTAAGATGATCTATTTCATGTTGTAATAATTCACTGACTGATACATCTAGTTCATTCCATTTTTGTTCATTACCATTGTCATCTGTATATTCAATTGATATTGATTTTGCACGTTGTTTTTTAACAAGAATACGTGGAATACTCATGCAATCATCCCACATTGTTATTGTATCTGATGAAGACCAGATTATTTTTGGATTGATTAATGTTAATGGTCCATAACCAAGGTTAAGTGCAATCATACGTAGATTAATACCTATTTGACAGGCACTTATACCACGACCAAAACCATTTTTACGACGAAAATCAGCTAGAGCAAAATGAAGTCGAAGTTTTCCAGCTTGAACAAAATCATCTTGAAGATTGAGAACTAAATCATTACTACGACGTAAATGAGGATCACCAATTAAACAGATTGAAATTGGTAGTGGATTTGATGAGGAAAATTTTTCAAGATGTTTTTGTAATGATGGTGAAACCCATTTCGATGAATAAGCATTTGTTGATTGGGATCGATAAAATTGATGAACAGAACGTAGAGAAAAAAGGCAACGATGTAATTTTAACATTTTACTTTTTCGTGGTTGATTTTATTATGTTTTGTAGGCTAATGAAAACGTGTCCTTATCACTATCAATTCGACCTTTATTCTGCGTATAGGTAAAAAAATGGAGAACGAAAAGGAAAAAAGTAAATATGCTTTATCGAGGGCAAATGATGACACCAAAGAAGACATAGCAAATAATGAAAAAAAAAATCTTTGCAAAAGAATATTTAATAAATAAATATTAAAATATACATCATGTTTATGTTGAAAAGAATGTTCGAAACTTTTCAAAAATACACATTATTGATATTTAAAATGAAGAACTGTTTTCATGTTTGATAAGATAGCAAAAGAAAATACACTATCATTATTTGCATTGTTCGCCCTATCTATAAATAGATAACACAGATCCTCACTCTTAGATAAAAGAAAAAATAAAACCAAAACCAAAAACAAAACATTTGTGTTCTCTTGGAAATCTCATATTCTCATTCATCATGCAACCACAATCATTCGTACCTTATGATAAAGGATTAGGTATAGGTGATAATTATCATGAATGGAATTTATTACGAGAAGATGTTAGTTTACCAGCGGCAAGTCTTTCATCTGAGAATATTGAACACAATCTTCGTTTGATGCAAAACTTCATCGAAAAATATAATGTTAAATTAGCACCACATGGTAAAACAACAATGTGTCCAAAACTTTTTCATCGACAACTTAATTATGGTGCTTGGGCAATAACATTAGCTACTGTACAACAAGTTCAATTAGCTTATTCAGCTGGTATACGACGTATATTAATGGCAAATCAATTAGTTGGTAAAACAAATATGACTATAATTAAACAATTATTAGATAATGATCCTGATTTTGATTTTTATTGTTTAATTGATTCATCAAAAAATATTGAACAACTTGGAGAATTTTTTAATAATGAAAAACAAAAACGATTACAAGTTCTTCTAGAAATTGGTGTTCATAATGGTCGAACAGGAATACGAACTGATGAAGATGAAACAATTATTTTAAATACTCTTGCACAATATAAAAATTCTTTAGCTCTTGTTGGTGTGGAATTATTTGAAGGTGTATTGAATGAAGAACAACCTATTCGACTTATGCTACAACGTGCTGTTGCTTGTTTACAACGTTTAATAAATTCAAATCAATTAGCTCGTTTACCGCCCATATTATCAGGTGCTGGTTCAGCTTGGTATGATATTGTTGCTGAAGAATTTTCTAAAGTAGGTCCTACAGTTGATGTTATTCTTCGACCTGGATGTTATTTAACACATGATAGAGGTATTTATCATCGTGCACAAACACGTATTCTTGAAAGGAATTCAATCATTCGAGATATTAGTAAGAATGATGCATTTCGATCTGCTCTTCAAATTTGGGCTTATGTTCAATCAATACCTGAAATAAATCGAGCAATTATTGGTTTTGGTAAACGTGATGCACCATGCGATGCTGATTATCCTATACCTGTTCTTCATTATCGATCCGAATGGTCGAAACCTATTGAAATAAGTCATAATAAATATCAGATTACAAATATGATGGATCAACATGCATTTATGGCTTGTCCATCTGATCATAATCTTATGGTTGGTGATATAATTGCATTTGATATATCACATCCATGTTTAACATTTGATAAATGGAGAAAAATATTACTGATCAATAATAATTATACAGTTATTGATATTCTTGATACATATTTTTAATAATGACTCATTCTTTTATTCCGTTTTTTTTTGAAATATATAAACGCAAAAGAAAGAAAAAAAATATTTATAACTTTCTTTTTTTTTTTTTTTTTGATAAAATAATTATTGTCCAATTCGATTAATAACCCAATCTGTTTGACAAAGTGGACATTGTGCTCGTTGTTTAACCCATTGACTCATACAACAATTATGAAATGAATGATTGCATGTACCCCAGACAATAATACATTCTTGAAGATTACTTGCTGCTTGACAACGTAGGCAAGATTCAGATAAAGCCGTTCGGCATATAGCACATACATCATGAGCTACATCCCAACTCCAAATACCTAATGATAATTTTTGTTATTCTTCAACAAAAAGAACTTTGTTACTTACCAACAAGATTCCAACGTTTGAGTGTAAATGGAACAGATGATGATACTGTATCCGATGTTGGGTTGCTATTATTATTGTTTGTATTTGTTGATTGAGTAAATGTTTGACTATTTTCTGACATCTTTAAAAAAAAAAGCAAAAGAAAAAAGGAAGCGTATTAAAATTAGAAATAGATAATTGATCAATATAAGTAAGATTGTTTTAGATTCTACAAGAAGATTACAAAAAACTTTGGACCACAAAAAAATTGATTAAATTCTGGCACAAGAAAAGTTTACAATAACTAAGGCAGTGAATAAGAATAATGATTAAGTCTCATATATATTTGTAAATCATAGGAAAAAAAAATAAACCGGTATAATAAGAAAATTTTCAAATATGTATACCAAAAAAAACAGCTTAATTAATAATAATAAGGAACAAGACATCAAATACGACTTCAAACATCATTGGTTATCGATACATTCGTAAAAAGTGGTACCTATATATATATAAAAGAAAAAAATAATTAATGTTTGAAAGTTTTTTTGAGATTATTTGTTGAAATCTAATTCTTTGATTCATGCAGTAATGATGTAAAGATTATTCTAAATGTTAATATATCAATTAGTTAATCATTAGAGATCAATTAGAAATAGTTAGTAACAAATATATTTGGTTATATTGAATGAAAACCAGGATGATGATATGCATTGAATAGTAGCTCATCGTCTACCTGTGTAAGCATCACTTAAAAGAAAGAAAAAAAAGTAAGCTTTTCTAATATTCTTGCAAACGTTATCAATATAAAGAAAAGTAGCAATCACGCTCTAATAAAGTTATAAATCATGTTCAAGGATTTAAAGCTTTGATTATATAGGTTAGCACGTGCTGTCATTATACAAATCAGTATAGCATTTAGTTACATTTCTGCGGGAAGAAAAAGGAGTAGTTGTTGTTGATTGTTGCTCATCAGTAACAGAGTTTGACCTAGGACGATCATCATCTAATAATGATCGTTGTCGAGAACCTCGTTTTGCTTCATTAGTATTAATCTTTGCTTCATCAACTATATTAATATAAAAGAAAATTTTTCTTTTCTTTCGTTTGTTTTTCTTATTTGATTTAATTATACAAAAAATCATGTAACTATAAACATACATGATTCTTCAGGATCTAAACGACGTCGTTCAGGTACTTTGATACGCTCACCACCCATAACTTTTAAACCATCCATCAAATGTTCAAGATAATCGCACATATGAGCTTGCTAAATAAAAATTTTTATATGAAAATAAATGCAAAAAAAAAGATAAATAAAGTATATTATTACTTGATTACTCATTAGTTGCATACGATTTTCAAGTGTTCGAATTCTATTCAATATATTCTCTTGTGGTGATTGACTAAAAATACACAGTATTGGTCAAAAATATAAGATCAATGTATTTTGGACTTTTTTTCTTACGATAACAAGTATTTAGCTTAAATCTAAATAGTGATTATAAATACATAACAAAGTTCTATCTATTAAATTCATTTCATACCGCAATTTCATAGATCGATTATGACAAGAAGATTTTGTCAGAAATCAAACACGGAAGTTTTCGGGTCTCAAAAAAATTGTGTGAATATTAGATCTGAAGAATATCATGTTAAATAGTACAAAATTCTGAATCAAATAAAGGATTATCGCATTTTCTGCGACTTTCTCTTTAAAAGTTATATGCATTACAAATTGAAATTTATCATAGTATTGTTAAAAGAAAATGCATTGTTTGGTTTTTTTTTGTGATACTTACAACTTTTTAAGAGAGAGGTGTAGGAAATGCACCAACTACTCATTTTATTTAGAATTTTGTACTCTTTGAGATAGTACTCTTCAAAGCTAATTTTCACATAGTTTAAACCTGCGACAACTCACACTTTCAAGAACTGATTCTTGTTTGAAAATTGGATCCAGTGACCAGTTTTGTTTGTTTGTTTTTTTGAGAATTCAGTTCGATGACTAATTCTTTTCATATGGACTAGATGTACTAATAATGATAATGTAGTAATTCTACTCAGTACTTGTTTCACTAGTCAATAAAGAATCGGTTACCAGTTCAGTTCCTTGATCACGAACTGTCATAGATCTACAAATAGTCTTCTAAGACCTGCGAACTACTATGTTTGGTTTTTCAGAATCCTTTCTCTAATAGTCCATTTATAAAATTTCTGTGTACACTGCGTTTTCTAGAGAACTTCATTGACTATGTAAATCACTATTTAGATTTAAGTCAAATGTTTGGTATAGTAGAAAAAATAAGTCAAAAATATGTTAATCTCATATTTTTGATCAATATTATATAAGAAACATAATGCCAATAGTATTTGATTTAAATATATTACTTACACTCGTTCTTCATCTAGATCAGTTTCATCAAATGATTTTCTTCCCATTTTTAAAAAGCTATAATACACTTCATCACCATATGCATCTTCAGCAGTTTCAATTTTTGTTACACTTTTGTCGTCAAGTGAAATTTCTAGAAAATAACATTAAATAATTTATTAAAAAAAAAACAAAAGAAAACAACAATTTTGTCTTTACTGTATTTTGTTCGACTCAAATGTTCTGCATATTTATTTTGGACAAATTCTAGTTGAGGACATTTGGCCAATGTAAATAATGTCAATCGCCAAAGATGAGACAAGAAAATGAATGGTGGTGGAAATGATGGACGTGATAAATATTCACACACTAATGAATATCGTTGAAATTTCCAAATACAATCTGTATTACTTTGAAGACGATCGAAAGTATTACTATATTAAAATAAAACAAAGAATTTAAGTTAAACACTTATTTAGATCGATAGAAATAGTTTTGGTACATATAGATCGTTAATAGTTTATCTTTTCGTAATAATTTTTTGAATTTATTTTAATTAAAATTGAGCATTTATTCTAACGGAAAATACACGAATGAAATATTAATTTTTCTGGACAATATGTTTTTTCGAATATAGTGAAAAAAAAACATCATATATTCCTGGAAATGAATCCATAGATTAAAAATAAAACTCCAACAAAATCATATGGAATTTATGCCATTCAGCCTGATTCATAATTTTAAATACATCAATTGTAGTCAACTTATAGAAAATATCGAATTTTTTGAAATTTTTATAATCAATATTTATTTCTCTCATTAGCTTTAAATACCTGAACATAGCAATAAGTAGATTAACCAAGAGTATACTAACAACCGCCGTATAAGCAACTAATAAAATAAACGCTGCATAACCATTTGCTTTATAATTATCTTAATAAAGACGAATAATAAAAAGAAAAGAAACATATTATTATTCAATTAGAAATCCTATTGTTTTTATTATCATACGTTCAAATGTATCTAAAGCTTGTAATTCGCCAAATATTTGCCAATAAGCAACATTTATAACTTCACGTGGTAAATGCCAGGAAAATTTTTGTACACCATGGACTAAACTGTAAAATGATACACCAAAGGCCAAAATGAATACAAAGAACATTAACATGAAAAATTTTAAATCATGTACCTTGAAAAAAATATAACAATAGAACATTCAATAGAAGATAAGGAAAAAGCCATTAGCGAAATCCTGGCAGAATTCAAATGTAAAACACGATGTAGCTGCTGTTGCTAATCATACGGAGATTGTCTTATTCTGTCTAACTTAGAACACATTTCTACATCCTCCTTTTACTTAATTCTCTAAAAATACAATGAGGAAATGGTTAATATATTGTAACAAGCCGTTATTGATATATGATCGTATATCAGCAACGTCTGCTTCGGTCTATAATAGTTTTTGGCTAGCATCTGTCACGGTCTCTAGTAGAAAGCCACGAATCCTTTCAAATTCAGATCGGAATCAGGTTTAGTTACACATTTTTGTGGACCCGAAGCTTCTCAGATAAGAAACATAACAACAAGATATAACTACACGTTGAATTTTCTTTCGAGAGTAGCGAATTACTAGCTAAAACCATGATTCTTCATTTATTCATGTGCACGAAGGATATTAGATATTGGTGAAAAAGACCCTCAGATTTGAACGTGATCGAGTCCGCATACACAAAAACATGGATCCACAGCTCCCTAATTAGCGTCTGCCACAATCTATGATGATCTCTAGTTAGTGTCCGTCACGATCTGGGGGGGGGGGGGGGGGGGGGGGGGGTCAAAATAATTCTTCGTTTTCTTAGTATAAAAATTTACGATTAGCTGAAATAATAGTTTGAGCTTGTTAATTTTGAAACATAAACATGAGAATATAAATAAATAATCACGCTTTGTTTTTGGCATACAAATTTCTAAAAACGAAGAATTGTTTTGTTGCTTTCGAAAGAACTACGGCTTATTAACTCTTTTCATGATTGNTCAATATTTCACTTTAATAATTCAACTTTAATTAAACTGCATTAATGATTAAATCTTTTTTTTTCTTACTGTTTGTTGCTGTTGTTGCTCAAGTTGTTCTTTAGTAAGTGGACCGATTATGGTTGATGCCATTGTTTCAGTGGGTATAAGAATATCATCATTATAATAATCTGAACTAGTTAGAATAGTTACAGCTTCACTTATATCATTATTAGCTTTAATTAATGCTTTACGATTTAAATCTCTATCAATAAATCCCATAGATATTAATGATTGAATATGATCTTCCATAGTTAACATATCATTTGGTGATGATGAACAAGCACTTGTTGAATTACTTTAATAATTTAAGAAAATACGTGTAAGAAACATTTAAATATATAATTAAAATTATGAATATACCTAGCAACACAAAGTTTATTTCGTTGGACACAAGAACGTTTTGGGGAATGATTATTGGTAGTCTCGGTTAAAGAGGAACTCACTGTGCGAGCACTGCGTTTCATCACGACAATAATTATTCGTATATTTAATATCCATCTGGAATAAAAATGAATATTAGTTTTTAGTATTTAATCAAATTGACCGATATCGAAAATTGCATATCATACATATTTACCAAGTGTGAAACATGGTCAGCGTCATCAATCAATCAAAAACGTGATTCACTTGTTTAATATTCGTTCTCTTCTTTTGTTTTGATTTTTTTCTTCAATGGATTATTTTTTTTTATACAAAAATTCTTCGACTTGCCAGTTTGTTACACACAATCAATCACGAGATCTAATTATTCTAAGTAATAATAATATTTAAAAGAAATTCATAATTATAAAGGTAAGTAGATCTGGAAAAAAAACAAGATCTGTTAACTTTTCTATAAGAGATACATTTTCTTTATCTTGATTGTTAAATTGAAACAAGATATTCTATTCAAAAAAAAGAAATGTGACAAAGAAAAGGAAGATAAGAAAAGAAAAAAAGAAAGAAAAATAAAAAAGATTTTTTTTTTTTGAGTTGTTTTATTTATTTTTGTCGTCTGACAAGTTATGGTGCGTCTGAGAAAAAAAATTTTCAATAAAATATTCAAATCAAAACATACGGTTATTATTTGAGAAAATGAAAATTAAACGTTTTTTATCATTTTTTTATTTTTTTATTTATTTATTTATTTTTTAAAGGTTCCTTCAAATAATAATAATAATTCAAATGGTTCACATCATTCTGTAACATCGGATGAATATTCAATAAATAATTTCAATTCATTTACAACTGATGCTTTTTTTGATCTTGAAACAAAAGTTTATGGCGACAATTGGTCAATACCTTATAAACGTATGTATGGGTTTTATTTGGTCATAAAAGAATGAAAAATTATTTTATATGAATCACAGACATTTATAATAGATCTTTTCATTGACTCAGAAAGTAAATTTTTTAAGTCATGAACTGCCAACTTAATAGAAGAAAACAAATGTCTATACAATAGTTTTCTCTTTTCTATTGAATCGATAGGAAGTGTGTTTCTACCGGTTAATAGTATGTTTTAGGTCTATTCAAATGTGTATATAATAGGAAAAAAAATATATTTGTAAAAGAGAGTAACAACGACAGTAAATATTTAAATTGTACATATATCTAAATGAATGCACGAACTATTAAAGTAAAATGTAACTTATAATATGAAGTTGTTCCTAGAAAACGGAAGCGCTTCGTAGTCTTCCGTTTTGCTAGTAGAATAAAGCACATATAGAACTAATGACGACATATTTTCTATATACTTTCAATCAATTTCAATTACATGTTTATGAAGAAAAAACTTCATTCGTCTATTTTTTTTGTATAATTTGTTTCATTCGAATGTTATAAGAAGATATTAATGAAATTTATTTCGTATAAACTACAATATGGGAGGCACAATACATATACAAGTTTGTTAATAAACTAGGATTGATCTGTAGGGGTGTTTCGAATGGGATGATGTATATTTCCTCTCTTAATTTTCAACAATTTTCGTTGTTCTCCCGCAAAGTTCGAACTTTTTTCTGTTTTTTGTGCTCACTAATTCTCAAAAAAAAAAAGAACGTTCTACTCAACTTTCCTATGAATTCGGTCGGCTTTAGCAAAAATCTTCCAATCGACCTCTTGAATCATTGACCCGTTTCTTCTAAATCGTGGCGATCTCGGAACTAGAGTTCGTTGGGTTCAAAATTTTCGGACTCGAACCTGGGCGAGCGGTGCTTTGATGTTTTCAATGAAATTTTCTCATCAGAATATGATAGCCGCTCCAAACATACGAGATACTTTTTTTTCCGATGTTTTTGTATCCGGTGACTAGTGCATCCTACATATTTCTCAGATGAGTCGTCTAAAAAATGTATAGGGTAGGCCCATCGAGTCTAAGTTCGAGACTAACCCGACAGGTTTCACTTAGGATGCGCCTGCTGACATTCATTACTTTCAAATGTTCCAGTTTAATAAGTTCTTTAAATAACATTTTTTTTTTATTAAAAGCTAACATAAATAATATAAGGTAAACGAACGTATCACATACTTTGATACAATAGTGAATAAGAAAAAAAAATGAACTAATTATTACTTCAGCTATGTTACACAATAGATAAAAGCTTTTACTGTAAACTCTTGCACTTCACCAGTCGTATCTCAGTGGTCTAGAGTTGCACCATGATAATTATAAGTTATACTTTTAAAAAAATGAAGCTAATATTAAAATTTCTCCTTATTTATTGTCATATACACTTACGCAGATGAATCCTAGAATAACAGAAAGTGTCTCTGAGAATCAAATTACTCTCTTACAAAAAAGAATATTTTAAATAAAAATAGTAATCCTTGATTATATATAACTTAATTAAAGTTCGATTTCATTATTTTGAATGCATTTAAACCCACCAGAATGAATTATCTTTGACGCACATGGAATTATTTGCACAGCCTTTAGGATACGACAAATGTGAAAAAAATTAGTTAAGAGAAATCGTGAAGTCAACTCTGAAAATATCACGAGAAGCCATCCCTTGTATGATTCCATCATATAAATCAGAAATATATTGAAAATCAGATAAATGACCTTTCCGTTCGACTCTATGACTTTTCTTTTCACTATCATGAATTCCCTTATCTTTTAAATTTGAGTCGCTTTCTTTATGAATTCATGACTACACAGTTGTTCTTAAACACGCTTGGCTTTTATTGCTACAAAAATAAAACCTAATTGCCAACAAATGATATTTTTCTTACATCTTTTGATAGCGATAGATAAGTACTCTCTTGAAAAAAGTATGAACAAAATCTGTAGATCTAAACTCTAGAACATAATTTTTCAAAAAAAAAAAAGCAGCCTATAGAAGCAAGGTGAAATGTTAGAAAAATCAACTTTGTGCGATAGATCTGTTTTAATTGTGTGATCGCGTAATGTATGTTAGAATATATCTATGATTGAATTTACACGAATATAGAACAATCTATTTCCGAGAAATCGATGGTTTTCTGAATGGATTAACGTTAGTGGTTGGTCAACGAAGCTCTAGGAAAAATGTTTGTTTCTCTACATGAAAAATTTCTTACGTATCTAAAAATTTCAGTTCCTAGATAAAACGAGATTAACTAAGTTCAGAACAGATATACTAATTTCGATTACGCAGCTCACAAACGATTCGGTAGTTTTTTTCGTGCAATGGCTTATAAGGAAAGAAAAAAAGTAGATGGAGATAAGAAGCAATGCTAGCCTATAATCGGCGGTCTCAAGCAGATTCAAACAGTATCATGAGAGACACTTCTAAATTAGTTCCGAGCTACTTCAAAGCTATCACGTAAATAGACGCGTGAGGTCGGATTCAATAAAAAGAAATTAAATTTTTTTTTTTAGGTGAAGAAGCTCTTGGGCAATGTCTTCTATCAGCAACACAACTTGCTCTTGCTGGTAAAATCACAAAATATGTCTCTTTGTTTTTTTTTGATGTTTTATTGTTTATTTTTAGGTACAGCTGATCAAGATAAAAATTGTGTAAAATTTATGGAAGATTTAATACCTGAAGCTTTTCGAAAAGTATACAAAATAAGATTTCATTATTTTGTTAGTTTTGTTCTTCTTTATTTAGTTACAATGTTCTCATCCTGTTAATAATTGGGCCTTGGAAATTCAATCAGGTGTATTCGAGATGATTGAATTATTGATTGATTTAATTGCTGCACGTTTATCATATGCACCGGTGCCTGTTAAATTACTGGAAACATTATCTATTGTGTTTGATTATGATTCTGTTTTTCAACGAAAAAATAAAACAAAACCATATGATCGTTCATTATATGATAAACAATTAGATGATCGTATATTAGCTAATCCACCATCAACATCAACATTTTCTGTTTATAATCGAAATGAAACATATGGTTGGTTATGTCAATTAATAAATCGTTTCGTATTAAAAGATGGTATTATAAATTTAAAAGCACAATTTCAAAATGAAAAACCATTAACAGCTCCTGTAAGCAATAGAAAAAAGAACATAAAGAAGAATTTCCTTTGTTTTTTTTCCTACTAGAGAGTGCTTCAGACGAGTCAAAAACTATAGGTTGCGACCAGAGTTTGAATATGAACGTAAAACTGTTATGTTTTTTTTTTGTTTAAGAGTAGTGAGAAACTTTTTGAAAGATCTGAAAAATTATGTTTAATGATGAGCCAATATGCTTCTGTTTACTTGATGAGTCTCTTTTCGAACATGCGAAAAATTGTCAGAGAAAAAAAAATAGTGAATTTTCTCTAGTAGCTTCTCGTCTGCAAGTTGGTCCTAATCAAGGACATAGCCAGAAACTCTCCAAGAGAAGTGCTTAACTTGTTATGGGACGAGAACGCAGAAAATACGTGAAGCCGATTGGACTTTTTTTACCTGACCGAAGCGACCAATTTACATCTACAATTGAATCGGTAGAAATCCGACCGGTTTCGAAGCATTGCCTCGATTGACCTGGCTGGTACGTTTTCAAGTATGGTGTACAAACACTCCTTGTGCGTTACTAGCTACGTTCATGATCCTAACTCATAGCTTTTGACTCGTCGGAAATATTTTTTAGTGGGTCAAAGATGAACAAACATTTTGTCAAAAAAAACTTTATCGGTCACTGATTCCTTGTATCAATCGATTCTTTTTAGGAATATAATGCTTTACTTTCACCATTTGTTAATTGTATGGATTATATATACATTGATAAATATCGACAACTATTCAGTGAACATATTGAA